GTATCATAGCTGAACCAAAAAAAAAAAAAAAAAAAAAAAGGCAGATCACTTTGGTGTGAAGAACTTCAGGACTTTGGTGTGAAGTAACCCAAGTATTAGCCCAAGGACCTGTTTCTAGGGCAAGAATCTGGGGATGAATTGGGATGAATCACACTGGAGACACTTGCTTAAGTAGGTCTGAACTCCACACTGGGTGAAGTTTATCACACCTGGGTGTGATACTAAAACTAAGAGAACTTGTACACGTCACTTTTCCTTGGCAGTACCTTAGTTCCTTAACACCCTGTTAGGAAAGCCCAATTCAGCCAATATTTCTCCGTGGCAGAGGAGTCGGGACCCTGCAGAAAGCGATCTCTGCAGATCAGGTGGGGTAAGGTAAGGTTTGTCTTGTTGCTTCCCCCCAGCCCCCTACTCCCTCCAGCATGGCAATTATCAGCTGAGTTTCATGGAAAGCAGGTTCTGGCTGGGAGGGGTAAGAAACTGAACACCTCACATTTTTGGACAGTTCATCACAGGGGTTTTAGCAAGCTATCGCTTCTGCTTTTAATAGGCTGAGAGAAGCAGGAGGGGTTTGTTTTGTGTTTTGGTTTTTTTTGTTTTTTTTTTTTTTTTTTTTTCCCCCAAATTGTCAGTACCCAACGCTGCTCTGTTTACACCTTGGCCCCTTCATTGTTGAGTGGGGCAAGTCTCCTGGACAAACGCCACCAAAAACTGTACCTGTGGGCTGGCACCCGTCAAACCCGGCGGTACCTCGGGGAGAAGATCCCAGCTGGGTTCTGCAGGGCTTCCCCCGCCTCGGCACCGGGCGCCGGGCTCTGCAGGGACCGTGGGCCAGCCGAAATCACCCTCCACGCCCACACGGGCGAGCAGCTAGCGCCGGGGGGCAACGGGGAGGGACCGGGACACAGGAGCCGGGTGGAATCCCTGAACTCGGGTGGACTCACTTGACGGGCTGCGTGGCCTCAGGGATCCGTCGGAGCACAGACCAAAAGGAAAAGGAGGCTCATCGGTCGAGCCTGGGACTGCAGCTGATAGGGAAATAATTTTCCTGTTTTACAGTCTCCTCCTCTCACAGAGTTTCAGAATTTTTCCTGTTCCATCTGAGAGGGAAGAAACACAACCAAACCCAGCCTACCAGAGCTGTGATGCTCGGGCGGTTCCGTCAGCGGAACACACAAAATCACCGGAGACTACACAGTGAAGCAGGGCCCCAGGTTTTGAGCAGGAAGATTATCTTCATGATGCTGTACCTCAGTCTTTACCTGCTCCTCTTCCCCTATAAAGCATCAAGGTAAATTCATTTTTCCAATATCACCTATTTTTTTGAAATAGAGAAAATTGCAGTCTTTTAGAGGAGATGAGAAGCGCTGTTAATAACAGTTCTGCTTGGAATAAAAGACAAGTGAGGGTGGACTCAGGCTATGACTACTACTACAGAATCTATTTCTGCTTCTTTGCAGGCAAGAGGAAATAAAGAAAGAGAAAAAAGGAGAAATAAGGACAGTTCTGTTTGTGGGCTTTTTTTTTTTTTTTTGTTTGTTTGTTTGTTTTTGGTTTTGTTGGTTTTTGTTTGTTTGGGTTTTTTTTTTAATTGTTGTTTGCAAACTGGAAAAGACTGCAGAAGTAGCACAAACTCTTCACACATTCTGAGCCCTGCTAAGCTTAAAGTAACTGCTAAGAGGCTGCCTCTGTGCTCAGAGACACGTATCTTTATTGAGGTTAGGTTTAATTGGCAAAAATTAAAACCAGTAAAGGAAAAAGACATGAAGGCCCTAGATGCTGAAATTTTGTATTCCGGATCACCAAGTGTTTCAGATCCTAGGAAGTGGAGGTGGCACCAAGGTCCACTCAGTCCAGCCTGGTCAAGCCACCCCTTCCAGGTGGAGGGGACAAAGGATCCCAGTGGGAAAAGGATGAGGGTGAGAGAGTGGTGACAGTGAAGTGTGTTTCCTTTGGTCATTTTTTCTGCCAGCATAACAATTTCCTCTTTGAGGGGCACGAGCGTGGGTTGGAGCTTGGTTTTTTGGGTTTCTTTTTTGAGCCAAAAATGTGCAAAAGTCTCATCAGCCATCTTACTCATTTCATCCAGACAGGCCCGGTTTCTCTACTCATCATTTCTGGGCCATTCACCTCCCGTTCTGTTGCCTTGTAGTTATTGCAGGTGTCAACAGCATACTCAACCTTCATCAGGGCTAATTTAATAAGTTCTGTTGCCTTCTGTAAACGTGGTCTTAGAAGAGGCTAAGTAGGCACAGCATCTGGCACCACAGGATAGTGCAGTAAGAAACAGCACAAGTTTTCCCTTTCCAGATGGAACAGCCTTAGTGCTGGGCTGGTGCTTTTTGGGGATGAGTAAGGCAGCTGAACAACTGCTTTAGCGAGGATTTAGTGAAAACAAACACATTCCCCCCGTGAAGTTGCTTATTTGTCCAATAAAATATTTAGTCAGAACACCCTGGTCCACATCTAGCTCAGCAGTACAAAGCCGTTTTTTCAGAAACATACAGGCACACGAGGCATTTGTGTTTATGTGGGTGTGAATATGTATTGCTAGCATCTTCTATTTCTGCATGTTGACTTTCAATTCATAGGTGCAGCTGCATATGCCTATTTTTCCTGTTTAAAAAAACCAGGCCGTTATTACTTTGTCTCAAAGGAAGATTTTAGTGCACTTGAAAACACGGAGCATTGAAAATGAATTAACAGAACAGATACCGCTATCTGAGCATGCCTTCCTATCTATGACTCATGGAAGCTATTAGGACCAACTTGGATGAAAGATAAAGTCATTTTTAACTTGACTTTAACTGCACTGCATTAGAGATTACGTCTAGTAAATACCACCAAGTTTCCTCAGAAGAATTTGAAGGTCTGGAACACTGTGCACTCTGCAGGGCACGGAGTCCAAGATCAGCATTTCCCCTCCTGCAGATGCTGTTAAAAAACAGATCCTGAACGCCTCTGTGGTTGAGGTAATTAGCAGATTTGCATGAAGCAAACACTTATTTCTCTTACTGGCAGAGGAATAAACCTTTGGCTTCTGGTCCAAGTCTCAGTAACAAAGCTTCAATCCGTAGTTGTTTTTTTGACAAATCGAACAAGCAAGCAGGATGTGGCCAGAGCTGATAGCGTGCTGTATTTTTCAGAGCTGTATCATATATTACAGGATGATCATAAGAACACTTAGTTTATTATTTATTCATTACTAGAAAACACAGCTAGTGTAATTAAACTATCAATACCTTTTATAAAAGACAGAAATGTTTTACCCTGAAGTATATTCTTTGCCTTCTTGGTGCTACGTGGTCTCCCCCACTAAAAACCAGCCAGCTCTGAAACCCACAAGACTGAGAACCCACCACAGAGGTCCTGCATCAGTTAATCTTTTTGAATAGCCCTCCATATGAATAAAGATGCAACACACAGTGTACAGTTTCATTAGTTTATTTTTTTAAAATCCTGTCAGAAAAATAGCTGTGCATTAATTACAAAATATATTAAACAATCTTTTGATACTTCCAAGGGAACAGGAGTACTTTCATTCTGTTCAAATGCAAACCAATACAAACCGTTAACACTGACCCCAGAATAATCTTCTGCATCCATAGTCAATATATTTGATGTGAAAGCATCTCCAAATGAGAACAGAAAGGCCGCCCTGATTTTATTTCATTAGCAAGTTTAATCCCTTGATAGCAAACATGACCAGGCATATCATAAGATCACTTAAAAAAAGCAAGTCTATACATCTCACATTACCTGAGCTCCCACATACACATTACATACCAACATTTCTAGTAAAATAATTTTCCCTGCCCTGCAGGGGAAGACATCCAGAGGCAAAAAGAAAACACATTTGCAATATATTATAATTGGAAAATTTGTGCCATAGCAGCTTTGCAAATACACAAGTAGCTGACTTAAAACATGTTCAAGACAAAAGAGATTTGGAAGATAAAACAAGCTAAGCCACTTTCTAAACCACACTGAGATCCAGTAATGCTGCAAAGCATCAAGAGTTACAGAACTGAAGAACCCCATTCCTGAAGAAATTACACAGGAAACTGTTTAAATCCTCATATTTCTTTGTATTTGGAGATAACTCTCCACACTGCACACCTTTCTGCTTCCATTTAAGTAGTTCTAGCAATTATACCTCAATCCACCATGGTAAAACAATTTCTCAAAAGAAAAGATCAGATTTGGAGGAAGGAGAAAAGAGGCTGTTTCAGTAAAAATGTGTTTTCACATAGAAGCTGAATCTTTTAGTTCTAACACTAAAGAAATTTGAATAGAAGACAATAGTCATGAAGACTATGCATTGAGATGGTAACAATGTAGACTAAGCTCTTCCATTAGCTGAAGATGATATTCTTATTTGTAAGAGAAAGCTCTGGAACTGCAGTTAAAATGAAGAGTAGCTTGAAAGGTGGGGGAAGAAAGAGGAAGATGGAACAAGTAGACGAATAAATATTTCATTAACATCTGTAATTTTTCACGATAGTAAGACTTAACTGATACTTAGCAAATTAGCTCTGAAAGTCTCTCATGTAGAACTCTGGCATTACAGTAATTTGGCATCACTCAGAGTTCTACTTGGTAATAGTAAAATGCAAACCCAGTAGAATAGCAGCAGTGAATAAAGCATTCATATTACTGTGGCCAATACAGTATTATACATGCAGTAACTTTCCATTCCCTATTAGTTTGTGCTATTGTACAATATTCACCTGAATTGTTTAAACTCCTGAACCTGCCATCAAACAGTTTCCTCCCAAGGCAGAATGATATCAGATCTGGCAGATATGGTTCAAAGCAAAAATTCAGTTCATAATGCAAACCTTCAAAAGGAAAGAAAGTATTAATGCACTTAGTGGGTCTTGGGTATAAACTATTAGAACACAGGACATTTTTGAAGAAGCTCTCAAATTACAAGTGTTTCTTCTGCCCCTCCCCCACCCCCCCCCCCACCCCCCCACCCCGAAAAAAAAAAACCAACCCAAACAGCAAAACAAAACAAAAAGGAGAATGGTAGTCTTCGAGCATCTTGGAAAAAAATGGATAACTAACATAGCTCAAAAATGACTGGAGAACTACTGTGCAGTACCTTCTGTATATAGTGGGTCTGGGCACTGTCAAGTACGTTAAAAGCTCGTGGTTAAGAATGGTTTAACTACTAGGAATGCTCTAACTGAAGACACTGAAGAACAATTCAGCTAATAGGGTAAGGCTATTCAGCATAAAAATTACTTAAGAGGTTTAAAACAGTTTTAAAGCATGGATCTTTTCCTATTTTGAGTAATACATGTTCACCTGTCCCCTAAATAGACAGAATAATACACTAAATAAGTCAATGACTAACTGCATTCACCATTGGCCAGGAAGTTCATGTTTTGGTAGTGACGATACTCCATGAACACAGTCCCTCTTCAACTCATAGGATCTATCTGCAAAATAAATTTTACTCATCTGGGTACGATGAACAAAGTGGTAGGTTGGGTCCTGGAACTTGTAATCTTGTGCAAGCAGGCAGAGTATCCTCCCAAATCGATATTTTATAATAGTCTTTCATTAGCCTTTAATATATAAAGTGTATGCATTTTCCCTACTGATGATCCCAATGGGATTGCTTTGATAAGGCCAAAGAGCTGGAATATTCTTCACTATCTTTTAAGCTGCAGTGTCTCAAGTCTTTAAGGCTGTTTCACTAGCTTGGAGAAGTAATATACATATGCTTATGTATGGCTTACTTCTTTCTCTGGTATCAGACTGTGTCCTTAATTTATGGGGTGAATAAAACTTTTATCTTCCTTCCTTTTAAAAACAAGATTCAGAACTTTATCAGCACCATGATATGTTAACATTTTTAGCACCAGTGAACTTGCACTACTCAGCTTTGACTGGTCAGAACTAACATTTATATGTCATACAAACAATCAGTACAGAAAACAATACATGCAACATTAAGAAGCTCATGAATTCTTGACATAATGAATCTAGTGTTTGGTAAATTAGTAACTATGGAAGCCTGATTTTTTTCCTAAGAGCAAACAGGATTGCAATTTTTCCTCACAGTAGTTAACAGGCTTTTCTTCCCCTCCCAAGTGTTGAGGGTGGCCCAGCTCCTGTTGTCTAACGAGGCAGGAAATACCCACGGCAGCTGGAGGTTGATATGGCCAAGCTGTCCACTGAGAACTCACCGATGACGACACAGGTCATATGTTACCTGCAGAACACCAAGAGATCACTCGAACAGACGCAGGCCACAAGTTCAGCTTTGGTACAAATTCAGGTTCCAGCAACAGTAAAAGAAATTGTCCACCACACTACCTAGTTAGTACATACCTTTGCTCCTGTGTCCACTCACACCCTGAAAAATGTCCAGCACTAGGAGGAGTTCCACCAGCACAAAGGTATCTCGTTCAAATACTACACTTTTATCTCTCTGGTGATGGTGACTGACATTCTGGGCCCAGAATACATATTTATAAAAGGATTTATCAAAAAAAAAAAAAAGAGAATTAGGGGGACACTTTCAGACCACGTTAGAAATATTTCTTCAGTGAACTCAGCTCAGAGTCATTTAGCCTTCTCCACAACACTACCACATGTCTTTCAGAAGTACTAGTATCAACTCTACACTGACATGCAACTTCCTGAAACTAATCCTGCAAGAGGGAAGGGTCGACGTATACCTCAACCCCAGGTGATGTGAGCAAAGTCTTAACCTGACCTCAGAATTCAAAAGCACAGGCAATTCAGAATTCTAGATAAGGCAATACAGAAACTGTCTCAACTGTCCCAAGCTCTGTGGAAAAGAGGCAAACAAACAAACACTCATCTTGATTAATTTAGCTATTTCCCTGCTACAGTATCTATTCCAAGGCACTGAGGCAAGAAGATTTACAGGTCTTTTCTGATAGGACTGAAGTTTTACCAAACTGAGACGCCCAGGTACTTCAATAGGATTTTTGCGTAGGCAGTTAAGTTTTGATTAACGACACTTCATTTAGTTAGCCTGCTACAGAAGTAGCTTATTACTTTAATAGAGAACAATACCAAACACATGGTTTCAAACACATGTGTTCAAACACATGACCTAGTACAGAAAAAAAACTATACCAGCAACAACAAAGTTCTATTCAGGTGAAGATCAACTATATTGGCAACTATGACCTTTCACAGACGCAGTCAATAGGGATGATGAAGCATACTTGTAATCTGTGGTGGAGGAACATGGTTAGTGGCTCCATTCCCCTTGTTAAGACTTACAGTCTACACAGCTCCATCAGCACTGCGAGCTTGAAATCCTTCCCTGCGGAGACTGTTTAAATCTAGACGCGTTAGAACTTCACAGCGCACCAGAAGGGTGTCATCCTTTACGAAGGTTCTTTGTTTCAAGGTTTGCAGGTGCATGAAAGTCACATAACCAAACCCTTTTGGATTGCGGTGAATTGTCGGTCTCTGGAAGGCGAGTAACTCTGGCTTGGCTTCCATTACTTCCTCATGATTCTGCCTTTCAGGGCCTTCTGATTGATCCAAAATAGAAAGTCGTATAGTGCCTTGGAAAGGCCAAGGCAGATGGCTGTCATATTCTCCTTGCATAGTGTGGACAAACAGAGATATAAAATTAGCACAACGCTGAGCATTTGGTAACTGGATATGTAGGCGCAAACACAGCTTGTAGCCGGGCTTTCCAGTGTAGAAGCCAGGACTGTGCATCACAACAGGTCTCTCTTCCTCCTGGGCTTTCTGAAGTCCACTGAAGTTCTCAATCTTCCAGATATAAATACCATTACATTGCTGTGCCTCCATTTCAGTAACCTTTCCCTCCAAATTTCGGATAGTACGTTTGAGTTCTGCTATGTGAGTGTTTTGAGTCTCCATTTTAGCAATGAGCTCTCTGATTTGGTGATCTTGTCTTACCAGACGACCTTCCAACTGCTGAATAGTTTCTTTGAAGTTTTCAACTTCTGGATTACAATCATATGCGGCATGCGACATGTGAGAGAAGAGGGCAGGCTCAAAGGGTAGGCCGTTGATGAAGGGTACGGGATTCGTAGCAGTAACACTGATATTCTGAAAACTCTGAGCCATCATTCTCATGTGAACCTGGGTGAACTCCTGCATGTGTCGTGCCAGTTCATTCCTTTGCATCTAGAAAGTAAGAGATGTGGCATCAGAACATATCAAACAACTTACTGCAATCACATCTTAAATTGAAATCAAACAACTAATTGCTTCTGTTACATGAATGTGAATCAAGGACAGGTGATGTGACAAAGTAGCACTTTACCAATGGAGGGCTCCCAATTTAAGATCACTGTTATGACAAATAAAAAAAGATGTTCCAGTGCCAGTGGGCAAACATTGCTCAACTCAGAAGAGTAACATAGTGAAAAGTGTTAGGGATAAACATATGTTTGGTATTTTTTCTAAATCAGCATTGTATTCCCTTCATTGATTTACTAAAATGCTCCATAGTACCAAATACAAAGGTATATGAAAACTGATGCCAAAACAATGAAGGGAAAAGATCCATTTTTTACAAAGAGGTATTAAGCAACTAGAAATAAGAGTATCCAGGTTAAACAATTTTAGAATTTAATCACATTTAGAGCACTGTCAAGTTTTCTTCACTGAACTCTAAGAGCCGTAACTGTATTTGGTTACAACTTTGGAAGAAATGCTAGAAGCTACTTTACTGACATGAAAGCTGAGAAAACACTCATGGATTAATAAAAGCAAGTTCATCAAGCAAATCATTCACAGATTTTTTTTTTTTTTTTTAATTGGAAAAGGGCTTTTGAAAGGCAATGAATCAACATGTAGTGTTTTAGAATTAAGATACCTCAGAACAAAAAACCCCACATATCACTGAGGTTGTGGGCTGGTGAATAAGACAAGAATAGGAAAACACATTTTAAAAAAAACAACAAAAATACACAGAAGGTCTGCAATTCATGATTCTGACAAATGGCTTACCTTTTCAGGACACCCAAAGGCACTGTAAAAACATGGCACTGGGGCAGTAGGACAGTCATTGTCATAATGGTTAGGCATCTAAAACAAATCAGATATTAAATTAATTTTCCCATCAAGAGTATTCTTTTATATCCTTCTAAAAGAATACTGCTGGATAGACTCTGAATAGGTACCTGAAGTCAGATCAGTTTATACCTGTATAACTTCTTAAAGGTGTATGGAAGTTTTGAACAAAAACGTTAGCTCTTGATAAAAATTCTACATCTTCCTTGTATATACTTTAATAACTCATTGCCTTTGTTCTACTTTAGTCATCAAAAAACATTCAGGTTTTCTTGCTAGAAAAAATGCCTTCTGTTTTTAGCCCATCCTCAAGCTAGATCACAGTCCATTTCCTTCTCTCCTGAAGCACTACTCGCATATACTTGTTGTGTCTCTCTTCATTATGTTCTTACTCAAAAAGCTCGAGTTAATTCAATTTTTCTTATGGTCTGTGTTTTCCAGACCCAGTTATCCCACTGCTCTGGCTCCTCCCTATCCATCCTCACCCCTAAAGCTGGACAGCTTCAGCTGAGGCCTTAGAAGCCCTAAATAGAGCAGAGGAGAATTCTGGGTTTCACAGGCAAAATACCTGCTCATATAACCCAGTATGTTTGCCTTGTTTATAAATACCATGATGAAGTAGAACATAAGCTTAATATAGCTCAGCCATTAACTCAATCATTACCTAGTTTAGCATTTTCTGTTCCCTATTTTTGCAGTTCATTTTTCTACCTCATGAGAGATTTTAGTCTTTGTTGTGACTGAACTCAATCCTGATTTTTCAGAGTATTTCTCCAATTTGATGAGATCATTCTTTACTTTAACCCAGGTCATTAATAGAGTTGCCATCCCATTCAAACAGGGATAGGCTGCAAATTAAATAACATTTATCATTTTCCTGTTATTATTGAATAGTTATTATTATAAAAGTTATTATTGAATAGAAGAAATAATAATGGCTATTGCAATAGTAACGGACAAGAAGAATTCCAGCCATCATCTACAATTTGATAGTGAATTATTTATAGCTACTTTGCAACAGTGGCTTTCCAATTACAAATACTCTCCCCTCTCTGCCCAAATCAAAGCCTTGTCTTCTAATGTCAGCCATAACCACTGGCAGCTGCTTGGTATTTTTTAACCTCCATTCACGATCGAAAACATGCAGCATGGTCCCCATCAGGAAGCAGTACAGCTAACCAATGTGATTTGCAGCCAGGAATCCTCCAGAGGTTTGCCAGACTGCAATTGCAAGCTGGAGCAGCATTTAAAGAATATTACACCTGCATTGGATGCAACATTTTCAGAGAGACAGGTAAAGATTTATTAGCTAGTAATCAAACGGTTTCTTCAAATTTCAGATTAAAGCAGCGATGTAAATACAAAACATCTGACCCAGATGAAATACAGAGAAAGGTAGTCCCTTACCTGCTCTCTGATGAGCACGGTGTTGCAATATTCACAAAATACATTGGCGAGTGGGCAGGTCTGGTCATGAAGCTTAGTTATCAAACAGAAAAAGAGAGGAAAGAAATACTCAGTAAAGTTACACAATTTAAAAGAGTGGTAATAACCTCTGATAAGATGTTAGATTTTTATTTACATTTCAAGTTTTGCATTTAGCTGTATGCAACTGTGAAGCAAAGACAATGCCCTTACCCTGAAGAATATGTTTTCTAGAATTACTGGTTTGTCATGGACTCATACAAGAGATTCATAAAGTTGCAGATGTTTTATTTCCTAAAGCTCTTATGCTCCAAAGCAGTCTGAATTTATCCAAAAGTTTCTGAAATTCATGTTCAATTGTAGTGGAACTATATTAAAGGTTTTTTTACTATTGTTGGAGTAGATGAGGTATTTTTGCTTAACAATTCACAATATGATACCATAAAATTAACAGCGCTTGAGATAAAACACATCCATATACAGATAAAGAAATGGAAGCTCTAAAAGGCAAGGACTATCTCCAGCATCATCCAAGTAAAAAAATGCAGTCAGGAGAAGAAATCAGAAATTATACTGGCCTTGTGTGTTAGCAGATATCCCCAAAAGATCCATCTCCTGATGTATCCTTTCCGCCAGGCATAAAACCTCTAAATATTGCTTTGTGTGTTACTTTGGCAGCAGATATTGGCCTCTAGTGGCAAGGCCAAAAAACAACGGTTCTTACACAAGTCCTTTCACATCACAGTGTTCCCAAGAAGTTTGTTTTCAGGCACAATCCTCGCCCCAGCTTTTGCCTGTTCTAGACTAATGTCCTGAGTTTGTAGCTTCTCACCTGCGCAGCACAAAGAGCTGTTGTAGAGCAAACCCTCTCCCTGCCACCTTTTCAAAAAAAGAAAACCTGATGTTCCACATACAAGCAAAGCTGCGTGAACAAAGGTTGAAAAACTGAGATGCCTGCTATGTACCTCTTTATCTTCATAGGCCATAGATGTGGCACAGTTTGGACAACAGACTTGACGCCTCGGACACTCCTGTGTCATGTGCTCTTTCAGATGGTTCTTCTGTAAGGCTCCTTGGCACTGCGGGCAGTCCACAGTGGAAAAATCACACTGCAACTGGTGGTCCTGAACAAGGACAAAACAGGGATTGGATACTACAAACAAGTGCTGTCGTCTCATCTATTTTCAAGATAAAGCACAGTTCAAGAGGAACAAATTGCAATCTTTCCTTCACGCAACCGAACGCTTACACACTTATGCCGACTTTACCAACAGCCTGTTATTGTTCCGTTACTAAGATCAAGACTAATGTATTCAGAGCTTCAAGAATGCTCTCACGTAAAAATTCAGCTTGATGTTCATCCTTTTAACCTTGTATGTTATTTTCAAAAACAATTATTTCAACTAATAATCTCCATCTAGCTGCTTTGAGGGAATATTAAACTGACTTTAGGGAACCTGTGCAAAGTACAGATACAGTCGATCAAGGTAAACATGAATGACCCTAAAGAGAAAGCTGCATTAGTACAATTTTCACACTCTACAATGTTCACTTGAGAATCACCTAATTACAATTAAAGACTCATCAAAAAAACAAATAACTGTAGCTTTAGACTTGAATGAACAATGCATTGAATCAGCATAAACAGGTATCAGGTATAACCATATATGATAAATTATTTTGAATTTTCACTTGTCCCTGAAAACAAGGTTCCCTATTTTCAGAATGAATTCTCACCTCTAAATGCCTCAGCTCCATCTTCATATTGCAGCCCTTGTTGGGACACTTAACCATTAATGAAAGGATTTCTCGTTTAGCGAAGTTGTCAGGAAAAAGTTGATTTTCAAGCAGAATTTCATTGTCTACTGGACATTTGTGACCTGCATCTCTACAATGCAGAAAAGAAAGGAAAAATAGATTACAAGTTTCCTTTGACCTTCATTTAAAATATATCTACACTAGCAAGGCATTAGTGGCCAAATTGTAACACATTAAGGAAGTCTTTGAGAACAATGACATTTATGTGGCAATTACCAGCAAGTACGCAACGTGCATCAGAGAAGTTGAATATGCAAGCTTCAGTAGAGGTGGCATGACTGGGATCGCAGCGCTTTTCTAACTCAGTAGTTTTTATTTGAAAAAATCCCGTGATAGATACTCTGGAAATAAACTCGAGGAGTATGTAAAGAAACCAAGAACTTACAGTCTCACTTCTGTAAGTACTTGACATAGCTCAAACATCAAAGAACATTTCACATACTAACATACTATTTCAAAACAATCCTTTAAAGATTCTTGGGCCTCACCTCCTTACGATCAGCCAAGGTGATCATAGCTGAGAGAAAAAGCAAAAACTTTTTTTCCCCCCCCATATTCATCTGTCATTCCTCTTCATATAGCTCATTCCATTGTTTTTGTTGTACAACCATTTGATCAGTTGGTTATCCTTCAAGCTGTTTTTATATACAGCAAAGAAGGGTGAAAAAACTCCAGACATAAAAATTACTAGTAACTATGAAAATTACAAAAGGCAGTTCCAAATCTGATGTATCTGAAGCCATTTTAACAGACTGGAAGTCAGCACTAACTGGTGAAAGTTTGGAGTCTGATGGTGGAACACAGGGAGGTGAAACTTGCACAAGAGAACTGACAGCCTGTTATGCTTCGTCAGGTTCTGTCTAATTGCATTTAAACACAAGAATCATTAGAAATGGAGTAAAAAAGGGATCACCTCCACAGTTTTCCTTTATAAAAATATCCAGTATCGGCTCATTTCTGAAAGGAGTAGGTCAACATATCTATTAATAATTGAGTAATACAGTTAAAGAGGCATGAGCGATCAAAGCTTCTGAGCTGAAGCACTGATGGAAATAGCAATAAAATGGAAAAATACATGGGGTGGAAAAATGTCAGAGAGCACTTGTGGTGTAATGATCAAAGGCCAGATCACTGTCACTGCTTGCAAGCATGAGGGGAAGTAGAACCTAGTGGGCTGCGGAGACCAAGAGGGAATTTGTGTTCTTGGTTGGAAAAGGAAATAATGGCTCAGCAACTCCATCGGCAACGGTGCTAGAGGAAGTGGGGGTAAAGTTGAGACTTCACAAAGAGACAATGAACTTCCTTTCCTAGGTTTTACTTGCAAGAGCTAGCTCGCCACAAGTCTGATAGTCACACTCCTAAACATGTGGAAAAAAGAAAATACCTAGTGTGCTGTTTTGTTTCACAGCTCCCTAAGCGACGATCAGCATGCTGACCTGTCACAACCCAGAAACGTTCCCTCACTTTGCAGGCAACCTACAGGAGATCAGTTTTCACTGGTATAACTTGGTTACAAACACCCTGTTCAGTAAAGTATAATGATAGCTCAGTAGGTCTGCTGCTAAGTCAGCAGCTTTATTTCCACACAGAAAAGGTAATCATGTATAGTAACAGCCAACAACAGATTAATCTGAAATAATGGATTACCAGATCCTCAGTTTAAATAACCAGACGACAAATGGTAAAATAAGAATGAATGGCAGTTTTCCAATTATTATAGTAAGGAAAGAACAACAACTTACTGCAGTATGCTAAACAGATTTCAAATACCACTTACAGGTATCAGGACTGTGTTTAAAAGGCTGCTTAGATCCATCTACCGAGGAAGATGTTGCTATACATTTCCTATCACAGAACTGAGTTTATGCACCTCAGTTCTAATTTACATTAGAGATTTTCCTACTCTGGAATTATTTATCACACTGGGCTGTGCCACAGTACCTGTGAAACAATAATCATCTCCTACAAAGTACAATGAAAATTCCTATAATTGTCCTTGGAATTAAAATACAGGTATGAAAAGTAAAGCCAGAATAACTTTGAAGCAAAAGCCTGCTCCATGATTTTTGCAACTGAGCAGTTTAGCCTAGAAGCTGGAACAGCTGGCATACACTTTAGCTGCAGCCATGCTGGCTGGCTGATGAACTGCTGGCACCCAAAGCTTTCTTTGCTGCCCCCTTGTCAGCTCCTACTTCTGCTGTTCTGATAAACAGAGGTTCTGATACTTGGCAAGCTCTACTACAAGCCCTAAGTTAGCTCTGACCTAAGATACAGAAGTAAGACTAGAGTGAAATTTAATTAGCTACAGCATCTGAACTCAGCTCTTCTAATATTTCTCATCAAGTACTTTGTAGGCAGTAACATTTGTAAACTAATATTTGTAGTTACTTAGGTAGATAAGCTTCTTTGCTACCATGCCTCATAGCACTTCAAAGCACTTCAGACAGCTTTATTTAAAAAGATGCCAAGACTTTCTGGGAGGTAAACATTTACTGTGATCAAATCCATCTGGTCTAATCACATCCCTCACATTGTAAGATCTAAGACTCCAGTCTTTAAAAGCTTTTTTAAAAAAAAAATCTTTCTAGTTGCAACCATAACTTCTTCAACATGGACAACTACAACTGTTTGTGTAAGTCTTGAGAAGCAATTACTCAAAAATTATTTGTCCATCCTCTATCATTTAAAATCCTTAATCTCTATGTTCACTTGAGCTAGACAGTGGGGAAATGAGGAATAAACAGAAGCAATTTTTTCCTGATCAAATACAGGCTGTGACAATCACTTCATGAAAAAAACAGTACTTGGAGAATGTAAAAATCACTTTCCATTTTCATTTTATTTCTGTAGAAGCTTCTCAATAACGCCAATCAATATTGTACTGTAGACATTACATACTCCAAATCAATTTTGTACTGTGGACACTACATACTTCAAATCAATAGCTTGATCCATGGATCCCAATTAAGCATGCAATTCAGCCCTGGAGGGATTCAGAGAGGTCTGGCACTGTAAGCTGTTTGCTCTGCTTTCAGAAGCATTCACTCAAACTGCACTCCAAAGACAGATTTCAGTGGGGAACGAGGGAAAACATTTACTATCAACGAAACATCTGAAATATCACAGTGATGATCTGTAGTCTCCAAGATGAAAAATGCTTTCCACCTGTGTTTACTATTCGCTGAAACAGTCAACACTACCTACAGAAATGAAGTCAAATAAGGAAAGGGTGTAAAAGAAGCAAAAGCTGCTGGTCACTGAAACTGTTCACAGGCCTAAAACTTTGAGCAGAGCAAATGCTCAGTTAATTTAAAAAGGAAGAGAAACAATTTCTCATGCCTGTGGTTTAAGAAGGAAGTTTCTCTACCTGCTACAAGATGTTGTTTTCTGAGCATGGGTTCACTGCAGCTCCTCACTCAGTCCTGTGGTAAATTCTAACCAATGACCATCAGCAGAAGGATGAGAAAACAAGATCACCTTAGCTGTTAAGGATCTGAAAGACCGGAAATGAGACACCCATTTTTGATAATTCTAAGTTTAGTCATTTTCCCCTCAGTTTTCAACCCAGGAATTCTGTTGCCTTTGAAGCGATTGGTGAGTAGGCCTTTCTACAGCTCAGTATACTTAAATAACACCAAATTTACCTTCAGGATTTATAGACACCATACTCCCATGAGAAGGTTTAAAGATTTATTTTCTTTCTTCCAGAAATACCCAAATTAAAGAAGAGTATAAAAACTGCTACTGTAAACAAATAAAGGAAGCTCAGAGAGAGAAAGTAAGGAATTCCAAAATTTAATGGCCTTTATTAGTCTAAACGTCTAATTCAAAGCTCACAGGCATGTATGACATTATGTACAATAACCTCTTGAAATAACTGAGGTCAGAATGTGCAAAGCAAAAGGCCAAAAGGCTTGTGTCTAGGGAAATGGATTACAGTCAAAGCTGGCAGGTTCAGGTTTGGGGTTTTTTGCCTTCTTCCATGCATCCAGCTGATGCAAATGACATTGAGTGATGCAGGTGGGTAAGGCCTGACATATTTTTCTGGCAGAAGTAGGAACACAGTGAACAAGGCAAGGGACTAAGGGAGCCGGGTGATCTCATGGTACGGTTAGTGGAGAACCGAACATCTCTCAGCTTCCTGTGCATAATCCACAAGCAAGTCACTTTTCCTGGGTGAACACTGGTTGTAGGCTGCATTTTCTGGATAATGAGTTTGCATCCCTTTCTCAGAAATACTGATCAAACTAAAGTTAACAAGAACTGCGTGGCAAAGACACACAATAAATTTCTGCGCTTGCTAGAAAGGAAAATAGCCTGCTCTTTTGCTATCATAAGTAGGCAATACATAATTAAATTTGTCTTCTCGTACTCAGCTCCAACATTTCCCTCCTTGATCTAAAAGGGATGCCATGACAAAATACAGTAGTATCAGATACAGCAGCAACAGAAGCTACAGAGAAGCCTACAAAAACACAAAATACTGTATTCAGCGAACATCATTGCTAGCATACTAATAATTTAGTAAGCTACAAATGATGAACTGTGGAGAGAAAGAAATGGAATAGAACTATAGATAAATGATATGGAAAACCAATCAAGAAAGCATTGCCCATTATGCATGCTAAAAATAAATGCCTGGGAAAAACAAGATACAGTAACATTGAAGAATTTGATGATCTTGACACAAAGCATTGCAAAGTAAGGTTGGAGATTAACCAATTCTACAAGTGGGTCAGACAGAATTAAATATTTAGATTCCTACCAAACTCCTGTGACATTTGAGCAAAGCAAGCAATTGATAAGAAAAAAATCTGGCTTATGTGGAGCAGGACAAACCTTACAGCATAATATCTAGCCTTCTATCGATGTGTTCCAATACTCACTGACACATGTGGGACACTGATGACCATATTCCAAGTTTGAGGGAAGTACACTAGACCAGTGTACTTTCTGCCCTTCCTTGCTCTTTCAATCATTCATTTTTACGAGCCCAGTCTGTTCTTGCATTCGTATCTCTCTCCCATATGCCACCTAGTTTCCTCTCTCAACATTTTGTTCAACACTGTTCCCTCATTATATTCTCTCTTCCAGCTCAATAAAGCAGTGGCTGATTACAAGTGAAGACCTGAAAGCAGAAATTGCCCTTTCTCCACCAAGAAACCATGTTCTCTGTAGCTGCCTGTAGTTATCAAGGGAAATAATCATAGGGTAAAGCCAGGTTTTAAAATCCTGGGCTGAAAATGGAATTTATGTGGATGATTTGGCTACTTTTTAAAAAATTATGATTTGTTTACTCAAAGTTTTAGATTCATAATCTGGGTAAATTTGCATAAATGGCAAAATATCTAAAGCTCATCCAACCTTCAAACTCAAGGCATTCTCGCCACACATGTTGTTTAATAGAAAGCACCTTTAATGACTTGTAAAATTCCAGGGCTCTATTCGCACTCACTGGTAATGTACCTTAAGCAGTTCTGTTCCGTTTACATTGCCCTTAAATTGCTCTGCACTGGTGAGTTTCTTCTGAAAAGCAACTTCCATAAATTTTCCTTTACCTTATTGATTTGACAATGCAGCCTTTGCAGAAACGGTGCCCACACGGTGTCTGTACTGCCTCCCGAAGGGCCATCAAGCAGATTGGACATTCATATTTACTTTCCAAGGGTGGATCAAACTCCACATCATATCCTTGTGTTTCCTCTGTGAAAGAGCTTGGAGGGTTTCCAGTGCTGCTGCCAACGCTGTCTTCTTTTGCTCCGGCGCTGCAGGCACTGGCCATGGCTGCACAGCAGCCACTTTCCATGTCTCGGGCTCCACGACTGTTATCACTATATAGTAAGCTCATAGTCGCTGATCAGCTGCTACGAAGAACTTCTCTGCAAGATGACAAAAAGATGTGTTAATTTAAAATATTCCAAGACCATCCTTTCCAGTCAAGGACAAATTTTACTTCTGACCAGAAACACTGGAACAGTGGTGCAGCTTGGTTCTGCTCAAAATCACTGGTTTTGTTTTGTCCCAGTTTGTTATCTATCTTTTTTACTTATTTTGTGATCTATAGGAAAGTGTACTGCATCCTGTCAACCTAGTTCAAACACAAACACACACCTTTCTGTAATCTCTTACCTACTTAATTTCTGTAAAAAGAGGAATACTCCTCCTTGCTATTTTTACTGAAAATGCCTCTTTATCCCTTCACTATTATTTACTTCTAAAGCATTCCAATATAATTTGCATGTAAAATGCTGTACCAAGTTTTATTGGGTGACAATAGCTCGATTCCATATTTTACTTGCAGTGAATAAATGTTATTTAACATTTTCTGTAGTCACAGTATAGGTTTCAAGTCAGTTTAGGTGCATGCCCAGAAACAAAATGGAAGCCCAAGTACCCAAACCGAGCTGATACTGTGCTGCAGATGAAATTCAAATATACAGCACTGCTGATAACATTCTAAAACTTCCAACAGGACTTTAAACTGAGTAAGAAGCTACATAAGAGATAAGGCTAATACTTGCACAGCACAAAAGCTATCTACAAACTACAAGTACTCAGAGTTCTTGCTCTCCCTCCTCCAGTCTAGCTGGCAGGGAGGACAAGGGACATGACTGTGAAAAACGAAGATGAAAGTCACATTTTCCTGAAGAGCAGTGAATGGCATAGTAAAGCCTGCTTTTAAAATACTGCTTACAAAGCAGGTTGGACTCATAGGTATGAAATAAAAAAATGCTGGTATCCTCAAACAGGTTGCCAGTGTTTCTACACTGTAGTAAGAAACTTTCAAAAAAGGCCTAAACAACAACAATAAATTCTACAAGTCCAAGAAATTCTCCTCTCCCTCAGTTTTTTAATGGTTACAACCATTTTCTTAGAATCCTACTGTGGTTAGTTTTCTATAAATTACATTTCTTTGAAACACAGAGGTTATCACCAGATGCAAGGCAGTATGAGTAGGCTGAGGGTTATAGAGCCAGGCATGCAAAATAAGCCCACTAAGCCCGGATTTGATCTTCTTTTGCACAGCAGTATAGCCTCTTGCGGTGTTCACCTGCTGCATTCAGTGTAATGCCATTATATTTAAATATGCGTTTAAGGCATATTGGGGAAGGAAATATAAGGATTAATCAAGAGCTGAACTGTAAGGATTGTTGATCTGCACCGCTACTGCAGAATCTGGGGGCAGAGAGGGATGCAGAATGAATAGGGTTACCTAGACCACAAGCTCACAAAACTGAACTTTTTCTTGCCTTTATCAGAATCTGAACATCACAAGTAATTTTAACAAAATTTTCAAGGATAGGAGGAGGACACAGAGCTAGTTTTATCTGGGTACTTATTATATGACACCTGAAGATTACATCAACAAATATTAATCACATAAAGCCTCAACTTGCATTTACTGGAAATAAAATTTGAACACACGCAATATTACAGAAATGCATTTTAGGCCACCTACATGATAAAGAATTAGAAATACTGTCCATGCTAACAGTGTACGATTTTTTTTTTTCCAGTTATTCAGACCAAAAAAAAACAACCCAAAACCAGCAGATCTACCAAACAAAACCAAGCAGGCAAAGTTACCATATTTAGGTCAGTTACAGTTACAATCAAAACAGAACTTTTATTCCGTTGTGTAAATATGTGTCTTTCCATTTTGTTGAGGTATGCAGAGGTATGAGAAGTATCTGAAGAGTAGCATTCCTGACACTTCCAAATACCATTAACGTACAGAGGCTCAAAGCACAGTTTTGACAGTTTAGAGTCGAACCGAACTAATCAACAATGCTCACTTTATGCAGAAATAACTCTATAGCAGAGGTGTCTGGAACCGCATGCAAGGAGTGATGTTTAATTCTGTTCCTGTTTTCTGCCCCCATGTATTATCCCTATATATTATCTATCACAACAGGCTTTACAATCAAGGCTCCTAAACACAACAGCAATACAAACTAAACACAAAGTAAATTCTCAGCAGTTGCTTTAGGCATAGTCCAACAGCCATCAACTTAATCCCATGGAATTGAGGAGCTCCCCCAATGACTTAAGATGGAAACAGAAGAATCAATGCTTAGAAAGATGCTCTGTGACAAGGATTTTTTTTTTTTGACTGCCATCAGTAGGTCTCTCTTCTCTGGAGAAAAAAAACTCGTTTCCACTGGTAAACTAACGTAACTTTTACTTAGCAGCTGCTGAAGAGGATGATTAGTACACAGGCCATATTTCACCAAAAAAAAAAGAAATAAAAATCACAGGAACTAAGTTGGGCCAGTGGAGTGGGAATGTTGGTATGAAGGATATTAGAATCCACAGGCCAGCCTAGGATTGAAAACTTCACTTTATAATAAGCCACAAGCATGTGTTTAGTGAGACTAAGAAAGGGAAGAGGAACATATATCCCTTTAGCAATGTCACAAAGGAATTCAGGAAGTCGCAAGGAGGAAAATATAATAGCTTTACCCAAATTCAGCTGTCACGTTAATCGCAAAGAGGTACGCGACTCTTCCCTTGGGCTGTTCCTAGGAAAAACTCATACTATTTGAAATACTGCTCTTTTAAGGAAGAAAACAGGACCTAACTCAATATAATCTTGATAGTTGAACGTTTTGTAGATTTACATGCTGTGCAAGTGGTGTTCTCTTTGCCCATTGAAATTGTTTCTACAGACATAACAGGTATGCACATTCAGTTTACAGAAACAAAAATCCTACACCAGAGTCATTTTAATGAATGAGTCACTGCAACCAGTCAACATCCCAGTCTCGCACAAAAATCCCCTTATTCAGTGATATACTCCACTCCCACACGGAGCTTTTGGTCTGCGTATGACCAAGGGGTTCATAAAAAAAAAAAAGAAATGCAAGTATAATCGGCTCCTCTTTTTAAATACGGAAATTCAGGCCCAAAGAGGCAGCTTAAACAAGGTAAGGGCCAGATTTCTAATTCTGTTCATGTTTTATGTAAGATAAGATTTCTCCTACTACTCTTAGCCATTTCACCTTCTCTGAGGAAAATCCTCTTTCCTCCACATGTATTTATAGGTATGGGGTAAGGCAAAATTTTCCAAACAAAAATCCACACTGATGTGACTCAGACCACTAACTGAGGCCTGATTATTCCACCATGGTTTAAAACAATTCCTCTACACGTTGTAACTATTGTAGTAGGAATTAGTTCTGTTTCTTGTGGCACTTACTTCACCCTTCAAGAGTAGGAACACAGATTCAAACTTGAACAAAGCAGTGCTAGAGCAAAACCAATCTGAGAAAAATACACTTTGAATGTTGATGATGGGTCTTTCCTCTGATGAAGGTGGAGCCTACTGGAGCAGTTTATGAGCCTACTGTATCATTTCTGCATGTTCCTCCTCTGGGGAATTAAAAAAAAAATCTTTAGACTAGAAGAGGATAGATTTCAAAACCCAAAACAGTACATATCCCCAAATTCATATCAAATTACTACCCTTCCTTTTTGATTATGAAATAGATTACCAGTGAAATAAAACCTAACAAACATCCCCCGAAAAACACATCAGTTTTTCTTCCTGTTCATAATAGTTGTCATTCTTCCTCTGTGCTGAATAAAACTGAGTCAAATACAAGTACAACAATAAGCAAATTTTAATTTGTAATACCTTGTCTACACCACAGCCTTTAGAATTTATCCCTTTTTTTGATGCTGGCAGTTTAATACATGAACTACTTTGCTAGCCTGCTCTATGACCTTTTTTGTTTGGACAACATCCAGCCTTCAGATACAGGAACAACTGAAATTAAACTGGATCATTACATGGTAATTCTTGTGTTTGCTAGTGAGAAGTTTCTCAGGCAGAGAAAGCCTTAAAGCTATGTTTGGTAAAGCATCTGAAATGCCCTTTTCTAGAGCTAGGAGGTCCTATCAGACTTGCTGAATAGATAAAATAATGGGTTTTAGCTTGCACATGTGAGATACCCAAAGACCTTGGGCCAGCAAAGGTTGACTTCTCTCTCCAAGGCAACAGATGTATTGTTTGACAACAGAAAGGAAGGTGCTTTCCAGGCCAAATGGTAATGGATGGAATTTGTTTGATCATTATTTGTGCTGCAGAAATCTGGAATGCCCTAAGGATCAAACCTTCATGCCCCAGAAAAGAGGCAGTTAAGACCATAGGGAGTCCCCACACTACTCTTCCAACTTTATGATTCAACGATAACGAAGTGTTTCTTCAGTAAGTAACCTGTGTTATGTTGCTATTTACACTGTTGCACTACAAAGTGATTATCTTGATCTGAGATAGCACAGTCAGACCAGAAGAGCAAACTGCTGCAAGAATAATGTACCTTATGATTGACAAAACCAAACCACCCATAATTTAAATGAATGCACACAACAAAACTCAGTGCTCTGACTGGCGAAATCCCATAGTATAATGGAGTTTAGGTAGGCCATTTACAGATATTCATGCTCCAAAGAGCTACAGGATTAATTCAGAAACTTCTCTAAATAAAAAAAAAAAAAATAATTACTGGTACTAGAAGGTATCTTCAGATTGCCTCAAAAACTACATTATAATTAGAGTAATAGGGAAGAAATAAAAGTAGGCATTGTATCCTATTTAAACTGAAATACAAAACAGTATCTTCGAGCATTCGGCAAAGGTGAAGGAACACTGCACAGACACTGTAACAGTTACCATGAAAAATAAATTTCTGAATATTAATCGGAAAATATTGAATAAAATTAATTTCCACATGTCCTTTCCTATAAGATTCACACTGAGTAGCCATATAAATAAGGAAATCAATACAGAAGGTTATTCCAAATCCCTTGTCTTCCTTGAAGTTCACAAACATCATTCATCTGCTTGCAGCCTGGCCAGTGCACAGCCAGCAAGAGAAATGCCTTCAACACCACATAGACAGAAAAACTGGCCAAACTTTCCTCCTTTTTTTCTTCTGCCTCACTGAGAACAGTTTTGTACATCCAGATTTCTGGGTCATGAGACAGACAGACCAGTGGAGCGACTCTGGATAATTTGTTTGTGGAGCAGTACTTGCAACACTTATTCCCAGGCATATTAATCAATGGTCTACTGACGACTGATAAGCACTCTGTGTTTTCATGATGAGGTCTGTAACTATCATCCCTGTGGCCTCATCCAGGCAGAACATATCAAATGATGCAAGTTCCTTTTAATTAATACATATAAAGCACTTTCATTTCAAAGCTATCAAGTGGCTAGACAAATCAAAGTAATAGGAGATTAAGGCAGAACTCCTAACTGCAAAAAGCAAATTCTGGTTTCTTGTAAAAGCCTGCAAGCATGTTGCAAACATTTTGTTGAGATACCAACTTTTTTTTTTTTTTTTCCGTAATAGCAGTAACTGTTAAAGACTTCTGAGTCTTTTGGATAACCACTACACTTACCATCTTAACATATGAACCTAAAGACTTAAGAGCTTTTACCCGAAGCAAATACAGTCAAACAACAATATTAAATGTCAATTAGACACTATCAAGAGCTCCTGTCACTGGAGCACAGTGGCCTTTGGGGGCTTCTGAAGCCTTCCAGGTGATTTCTCTTTGCTTGGAAAGAATGCTGTCAGGCTTTAATCACCTATGTATTTCTATGCCTAAGTGTTACTTAGGAGAATAGATGGTGGCATGCTCCCAGTTCCAGTCATAGTTTATCCTTCTTAAGCATGTCAAAATAAATTTCATTTTAGCGAGCAGTGGAAGTGCACTGTACTGTATTTAACACCAAAATATTCCATGGGTTTTTCCATATTCAAAAAGCCAACCCAAACCAAAATCCCCCAAACCCTTCTTCGATTTATTAACTTCTAGAGAAATTTCACTGAGAATTCTTCAGATTGACACATACAAGAAAAGCGTTGTTAGTGAAAAGAACAATACTATTTAATTCTTTACTTTGGCAGAGGTTTTGCTCTCTTCGGCCTATGTTCTGCTTTTGCACACTGAGAACACTTTGAGACATGCATTGTGCCTTTTTGTATCCCTCAGTAGCTCCACAGAGAATTTAAGATGCAGCCATAGTGAGAACACAGTAAACATCTGGCCAGAAAGTACTTCAAAAGAAGCAGGGAGAAGTATGGCTATGAACAAACGTGATTTCTGCAATGCAGTCTTCAGGATGGATTTAATTAACACCTACCTCAACAAGCATTAAGCTTGTATCTGGCATTAGTAAAACAATTTAAGACCCTGGGAAAAGAAACAGTGAATTAAACACACATTCTGAAACAACTGGAACATTTCCTCTTTTCACTCTACCTTACACTTACTTTTATTTTCTTTTTGACGTGCTTAATACCCAGAATTTTTATCATTAGCTTTCACAGTCAAGATCTAGAACTGTTTTATATTTGTTTAGCTCATTTGTGCTACTGAGATACAAAAGTTACTCTTCTTGACATATTAAACTCATGAAAGTTCAACAAGTGAAGAAAAAGCATGTTCACCTCAGACATTTTTTCATTCTGAAGTTCTATCAGCATAAGTATCTATTGTGTGCATTGTCTTTTTAGATATGGTAGCATGTTTTTAAAACAGAAAGCAGTATTGGAGTGATGCAGTACTACAAAACCTAAAAAAACAACTATGTCTTAATGACTGCTCATTCAACAGAGCCTGGCTGATCTCCACACATCTTTAGCCGTCAGGAAAAGCTGACGGCGACGTGGAACATGCAGAAGAATTATGCCCAAAGTGATACCTGCCACGAAAATAATCCAAGTACTCATACCAGCATACTTCTGTGACCTTTATTTTCCTTCTGATACTAGTGTGACTACTTTTACGGCCCTTTCACACTATGAAAAGCCAAAGCAGTTTGCTTGCAAGTGTTAACGCAGTTGGTGAACACCGGGTTAAAATGCACTTGAGATGTTAAACATGCTGTTAACGTAGCCGGTCACTTTGCCTCTCCCCATTCCTTTTCCTACCCCTCTCTCACCAAAAGCTCCAAATCAATACTTCCTTAATCATTCCAGCAGTGGGATCTAAGACACGACAAAATCCACATAGCTCACGGGTAGCTCTGCACGCACGTCAAAGGCAAACACGGAGAAATACTTTCAGCTCGCTTTAACTACTGGGTACAACGGATATAATTAGAACATTTTCCTCCTACCTACAGCTGAGATTTCCGTTTAAGTATGAAAAGACTCAGCGTGACCTACCCAGGACAGATGAAATCGACGGAAAGTACGACTGAAGTCGCAACGTATCGCTTGCGCCAATAAACCGACCACAACCGTTAAGCACCGCGTCTAGACACAGCTGCCGGTTTCAGCGCCCTCCCTCGCAAATTATCCTCGCAGGACTCTCTCACGCTCCCGAAGCGATTTCGCGAGTACCTCCGTTTCCCGGCGGCGCAGACCGAGCCCGCTCCCCCGGCGGCCACCACAGCTCGGCCCGCAGGCCCGGCGGCTCCCCGGGGACAGCCCAGCCCTTCCCGCCGGGCCCTGCTCGGGGCAGAAGGCGCGGCTGCGTTCCCGGCCCGCCCAGGACGAACGGCCCAGCGCGCAGCGCCGTGACCCCGCCGGCCGGAACCGGGCCCCGCTCACCGCCCGCCGCTTCCGCCTTCCCGCCGGGGCGGCGCCGGGGCCGCCCAGGCCGAGCGGGGCGCGACGGGGCGGCCGCTGCAGCGCCCCCTGCCGCCGCGGAGGGCGCCGCGGCGGGGCCCGGCTCGGGAAATCGTGAGGGGAGCCGTGAGCTCCCTGTCGGTGGCCGCCAAAAAAAAAAAAAAAAAAAAAAAAAAAAAACCCTCACCGGCTTTTGGGGCTCCCGCTGGTTTTCCGAAGAACTGCCAGGATTCACCCTTGTGGGCGCTGTGAAAAATCAGGTGTTCAAAGCTGGCTGTTCAAAGGGGGCGGGGCAGGCTCGGGATTCGCAAAAAAAGCCGTTTCTCAATGTAAAGCAGTAGAAATAGTTTTTAGATATAGAATAGAGGTAGAAATCATTTTCTGACCCCGAGGGGGCTCCTGAGGGAACTCAGGCAGGGTGACCCACCTCCCTCAGGACAAGCGCTGGGGTTCACCTTGCCCCGCCGCTTGTGACAACTGGTGATTCTGAGGAAGTGAAAAACCGGCACAGTGCAGACGCCGAGACAGATTAATTTCCTTAAAAACGAACACGGGGAATTTGGTTGTTTGCATCGGTGACCTTTCTTGGCAAGAATCTCTGACTAAGGCGAATTTAAATCCAACAAGTGTTTCTGCTCCCAGCATTTGGGGGATATAAACTGGAGCAGAGAGGTGTGGGGCCACAGTTTTCCAGTAATTTCCAGTGTCTCTGGCCACGCACCCTGGTCCCGGAGAGCTGGAGGCCAGGGGCTGGTGCCATCGCTACGCTGCCTGTCTCCCACCGAGTGCTGGCAGGGTGCTGCTCCTGGAGCAAACACACATGCCGGACCCTAACGCACCACTCCGGGCACGGCTTCCGTCCAAAACATACTTACATTTTTTGTTAGGACCTGCCAGGAAGCTAAGAGTTAGAGGACAGAGATAGCCGGGTCATCAGATGGGGCTCCAAAGTACCACAATAAAGAAACCTGTATATTAATGAATATAAAAAAATTAAAATGTTGCGGACCCTTTGCTGCACAACTGGTTGAATTTCAGAGCTATCCGTTCTCTCCCGTCAAGTGAACAAGCTGGATGTTACTTTCATTAGCTATAAAGTGAGGAAATAGATCATTACATAGCTTTGGAAAACAGATATCCTTAAATGGAGAGTTTCAATGGCTGAAAAATACTATTTTCAGCAATCCGTAAAGTACCCAGAAGACTGATGTCCAGCCTATTTTAATTGAGAATTCAAGGAACTTATCTGGAGTTTTTATTCCAAGTGTAAATGAAACGCCTTTATTCAGATCAGTTTCCAGATCTGTATGGTTTATGGGAAGTTTAGGCCCATAGTCGTGTACTAATTCCTATGCTGTAACAGAAACGAATGCAAAACCGCTTTTCTCCACTCGGTGGTGCCATTTGCACAGGAAAAACATTTCCAGCTCTGGATCAGTGCAGCTTAAACCGTTGAGCAATTACGCTCATACAGACATAAAACACACCCAAAGCTGTAGCAATCTGAGATCAATTAAAACCCTTAGTTGCCTGCCGTATCCCTGCAAGACAATATTTTTTCAAGGTGATTTCCTGGGTACTTTGGAAGTAGAGCACTTGACTAGGCTTACATATGCTTATGTGGCTCCTTTGATAATCAGGCTGCTGCCTGTACAGTGCCTGCTTGCACTCGGGCTCCCAGAGGAATGGGGCAGGTAGCCAGCTACCCGGGTGAAGTTTTGAATAAGCACCCCAGAGGCAGAGATCTGCTAAACTACTTCTCCAAGAGCCCCAAATCCCTCAATACTAACAATGCCCGGTGTCAGAGAACTGTGTCTGCTGTTTCAGTATAAGGGAGGAAACTGGTATGTGATTGCAGAGACTGATTTTGATTGATATCTTGTATTGCAGCCTGATCTGATATGTTTTTGAAAAGGTGTCTCCAAATGCTAGGGAGTGAATAGTAAAAACAGGCAGGTTGTTGGGATATCCAGGATGAAACAGGGACAGCAGAAGAGCTGGGCTCAGGACTTTGCCATCTGATGTTCTCAGAGGTCTATAAATGCATCAGCCATGGCATTCTTGTCTCACACTGCCTTGGCCTGAAATAACCTCTATGATTTCTGTTCCACCTTATCCTGACACTCCCGTTCAGCTCTTTCTGATTGGAATTTATTTCATATTAGGGTTTTGTGTGAGTCAGAATCTGAACAAGTATATTAGGGTTTGGCCCCAAACTTTCTTTACCTTCTCAATGCCTTACATAATCTATACATACTTTGTTAACTTTCTCCATATGTTACTTGCTTTGGCAAGTTTGCTTGCTGTTGGCTTCTCATGTGGCACGCAGACTCAGGAGTAACCACTTTCCCAAGACATCATCTTACAAGAATGGCTTGGGGCAGAGCGGCTGGAGAGCTGCCCTGAGGAAAAGGCCCTGGGGGTGCTGGTCCACACCCGGCTGAATATGAGCCGGCGGTGTGCCCAGGTGGCCAAGGAGGCCAACGGCCTCCTGGCTTGTGTCAGCAAGAGTGTGGCCAGCAGGACTAGGGAAGGGATTGTCCCCCTGTACGCGGCCCTGGTGAGGCCGTACCTCGGATAACGGGTTCAGTTCTGGGCCCCTCACTACAAGAAAGACACTGAGGTGCTGGAGCGTGTCCAGAGAAGGGCAACGAAGCTGGTGAAGGGTCTGGAGCACAAGTCTGATGAGGAGCAGCTGAGGGGACCGGGGTTGTTTGGCCTGGAGAGAAGGAGGCTGAGGGGAGACCTGATGGCTCTCTACAACCACCCGAAAGGAGGTTGGAGCGAGGTGGGGGTCGGTCTCTTCTCCCAACTAACAAGTGATAGGAAGAGAGGAAATGGCCTCAAGTTGTGCCAGGGAAGGTTTAGATTGGATATTAGGAAAAATTTCTTCACTGGAAGGGTTGTCAAGCATTGGAAGAGGTTGCTCAGGGAGGAGGGTTGAGTCACCACCCCTGGAGGTGTTTAAAAGACCTGTAGATGTGGTACTTAGGGACATGATATAGTGGTGGACTTGGCAATGCAAGGTTAATAATGGTTGGACTTGATGATCTCAAGGATCTTTTCCAACCTAAATGATTCTATGATTCTAAGAATTGGAAGCATTGTAAGATCAGAGTGGATAATAGGAAGGGAATCCTCTCACCTCTTTTAGCTATAGCAAATGCCAAATATTACTTTTGATGATTTTCCCTCTGACTACCATCAGTGTTGTGTAAGATGCTGTCAGGTAGGAGCTGCATTAACTGGGAAATGCTGAGCTGCTGTGAAAGCACAGTGGCCTCCGTCATAGCCACCTTGTCAGGGAAGAGTGTGCAAGTTGGAAATGGATTTGTGTCCTGTAGGATCTCAAAGTCTCCTGAGAAAGGGAAATGTTTGGGTAGGTGTTTATGTAGTTAGGCTGCTACTGCAAATTCCTGCTTCTGGAGTGTGAACTTAAGTTCGCATTTGGAAGGACTTGCTGGATTGCTAGAATTTTTTCATGATGTTAAGTGTGGAGACTGAAAACTTTCAGGGTGCTGTTGTGTGACAGAATTTGGTTTCTTTCCACTTTGATTCAGCTTTTGAGACAGTTGCTCTGGAAACTGAGCATGGGTGTTCAACTGAGCTTCACCAGAAAAGAAACTCTACTGGCCACTCTCTGTGGCCACCTGTGGCGTATACCTGGTGTAATATCTACCGGTTACTCAATACGTATATAGCTAGCTTTTATATTGTTGATTTGTCCTCCCTGCCCAGGGCCTTCAAGACCCTGGACTTACATCACCAAAGACGTAATATCCTTGAAAATTAAATACTGATATCAGAAGAAAAGACATTCTGTGATCCCTATTGTCAATTCACCCGAACCCCAGAATCTTGGTTGCAGTTGACCTGAGGAAGTGGGCCATTGGCCTTCAGTGGTCTGGGATGGTGGTGTGACCAAACAGCAGGTTCTCCTCTCAGAGAGTTAACAGTGAAGAAACCAGCTCTGAAACTATGAAGAAGAAAGCCAAATGCAAAACTTTGTGTTAAAAAGCAGTGCAGGTGCTCCTCAGAGAAAGTCTGTGTAGTTATCTCAGACCCCAGGAGTCTCACACAAGAAGACCTTGTTTATATGAATTTTGTGGTTAAGCCTCATAAATTGCCAGGTGCCACCTGGATTTGAGAGTTCTGTATTGTGTTTAGTTGAAGTAACCTGTGGTTAGCACCAGGGTGGTACTGGGAACTTGGAGGGACAGGGATAAGCGAGATAAACAGCACTGCAGTGTCTTTAAAAAGCAAAGGGAACACAGAAAGAGCAAGAGCACACAGGAGAGAGAGCAAGCAAGCTTGACATTTGGAGCAAACTGGGCAGACAGAGCAGCAGATCTACAAACTGACAGTGAGCTAAAGGTAGTCTGGCAGTACTAATGACAGCATTCCAGACGCTTGTAGGACATCCGAGTGTTGGTTCCTTTTCCTGATTTAATGTGCAGGTCAGTGATTTTATTTTATATGTGCTTCCTCACATCAGAGGTTGTTCTGTTCATTTTGGTGAGACTATCTATAAAGGAAGGTCTTCCTTGATGTGAGCAAAAGTATTGCAATCTTGCTTGTCTTCAGAAGTGTATGAAATATTGTGAACTGGGAACAAAAGGGATTTCTCTTCCCTTTTAAAGATAAAAAGAGGTGATACCGAACACAGCTGTCAGAGTCAATTAAATAACCACAGCTGTGGGTTCATGCCTGGGCTTCACTTCATAAGGATCTGAGTGGGGTAGACAGGGAGGGGAAAGATTGTTCAGTGTGACCCCCCAACTAGAACAACAGGACATGGGCAGATTTAGCCTGAGTAGCAGGAAGTATTCCTAGCACTGGGAATATTTCTAGCACTCCCAAGAGAGCTGCTAAAATCTCCATCTGCCTGGGAGATAGGCAATTCAAAGCCTTTGATGAGCAGCCTGTTGGCAACAATTATCTACTGCAGAAGGTGAAGGTTGGGTGACCTGAGAGGGATTTA